ATTTACAATTTTATACTTCATAATTCTGGGGTTTTTTTTTGGCAGTAAAAACATAACAAATTGTATAAATTTTCTCCTCAACACATTTTTTTTTTCTTTAGCCTAAGTGCTGTTGCCACTTTTTTTCTGAACTGTTTATCCTATAAAAATTTTCCTTTTTTCTTTTACTTTGTTAAGATTTACTTAGTTGACACTCGTTTGTGCATTTAATCAAAGCAAAAGCTCACCAGTTATCAACTTACACCAATCTTAAGAACACAATTTCTCAATAATAAAGAGATGATTATTCACATTCAGATTTGATAGTTCAACAAAATTCTTCACTCAACAGCGATATAGAATCAACGATAATTTATCTCATAATTATTGCCTTGAATGGTAAGCGATGAAGACAATTTTGGCAAAGTACAAAACGGCAGCATTTTAACTACAGAGCTCTCTACTGAAGGAGCACAGCAGTTTGCAGTTAACACCATAAGTTTCTTACCTCAATAAATTCCTAGACCTAAGTATATGTTAAAAAAACTTAGCGAGAAAAATGTGCAGCTAAATTTTAGAAATCGGTATCAGTCATAAAAGTTTTAGTTGAAAATTGAAACTGTTTATTTATTAAAATTTCTAGAAAACAAAACACGAAAAATCTAAGAATCTAGCAACCAACTTTCCCAAATCTGGTTGTTAATTTAATTTCATAATTTGAAAATTTTTTTTGGCATTCACTTGTAAATATAAATACTTCTTTAAAACTTTTGTTTTCTAAAAGTTCTTGAACTTTGATACTGTTTAAATTAGATTAACTAAGCGCTGACTAAGCAGCGCTGACTAATCAACAAATGCACCTAAACGTTCAATACGTTTGATTTGAACGTCATTTTAATAATCGTTGTCAATTTTGTTATCGTTGTTTTTTTTTTTCAGATGATTAATCTTGGCAGATTCAGCCAGCCAGCCAGATTTTAAAATTCAAACATTTGGATACCTCATAAGTGATCTGTTTTTTTGTAAAATTTTTTCCTTTTATACAAAAAAGAATGGTAAAACAAATTGTTGTTGGTATTTTTATGATATTTTCTTGTCAGTCTCTTTTTTTTTTTTAATTGAAGAAGAAGAAATAGTAATAACAAGAATAAATTTTCATGTTACATTTTTTTTCTCTCCACTTCCTTGTTATTGCCTTTTTCTTTGAGATTATAACAGTAAGTAAAAATTGACCATGACAATTGCAGTCAAAAAACCAAATACAGAGATAGATGAATAGACTCAGATACATGGCACAGAAGTAACGATTTGATGCATGTGATTCATTATATCTGTCTGAGCAGTAGTTTCCCAGCAAATAGGATTTATATTTTTAAGTTCTAATTGAAAGCTTAAGTTTTTTTTTTGCATTATTACCTTTTAATGATTTTTCACATCTGATACCGCACATTTATTGTACTCTTAATTTTTTTATGCTTTATTTTTTCTTGTTCATATTTTATTCTATTTTCTCATCGCAGTAGTTTGATTATTATTGAATTGGTCAATTGGTTAATGAATATTTACTGTTCAGAAAAGTTGTTGTATTAAAAAGAAACAATTGCAACATCAGTCTAAATCAGCAAATTTTTGTGTTAATAATACAAAAAAAAAAAATATGAAATAAAAAAAGACACAA